AGCAGCTGCTGCTGCTGCTGCCGTAGCAGCTCTTGCTGCTGCTGCTGCCCCAACAGCTGACACCGCCGCTGCTGCTCTACGAGCCCCTTCCAGTGAAGGGCTCTCGCTTGCAACGCTTGCGCCTGTGCTGCTGTTGCTTTTGTTGCTGCTGCTGTTGTTGCTGCTGCTGCTGCTGTATTGTCTGGGGCAGAGGTCACCCCAAAGCGCTGCAGCACTCTCTTGACAGTCTGCTGCAGCCCCGATGGCTCTTGCTGCTGCTGCTGCTGCTGCTGCATTTCGAGCTGCAGCTGCAGCAACTCACGTTGGTAGTCTTCCCTACGCTGCTGCAGCAGCAGCTGTTCTTGCCACAGCTGGGCGGTTCGCTGCTCAAGCATTTGCTGCTGCAGCAGCAGCTGCTGCTGCAACTGCTTCCTTTGCTGCATCTGCTGCTGCTGACTCCGGGGTGTCAATAATTGGTCTTGCTGCTTTGTGATTGGGCTGTCTGCTGCTGCTGCTGCTGCTGCTGTCGTCTGCAGCTCCTGCAGCATATCCAATGCCCTCAGTACGTTGGCGTCCTGCTGCAGCAGCTGCTGCAGCAGGAGTTGCTGCTGCAGCTGGAGCCCCTCTAGCTGCTGCTCCTGTTCCCTCCCTCCCTGCAGCTGCTGCAGCAGCAGCTGCTGCTCCCCCTGGTGCTGCCGCAGCAGCCGCCGCACTTGGCGGTGCAGTTGCTGCACCTGCTGCTGCAGCCCTGCTGCTCGTTGCTGCTGCTGCTGCTCTAGCAGCCGCTGCTGCTTCCGTGCCATGCTCTCGGAACGTCGCTGCTGCCGCTGCAGCAGCAGCAGCAGCTGTTCCTGCTGCTGTTGCTGCTGCTGCTGCCTTCTGCTTCTCCCCCGCCTCCCGTAGGGGCGGTCTTTGCGGTCACTTGAGCACTGACGCCCTTGCTGCTGCTGCTGCTGCTGCAACAGAGCAAGTGCTTGTTGCTGCTCGAGCAGCAGGAGCTGCTGCTGCTGCTGCTGCAGCTCAGGAGACAGCCCATATCCACCCGCCGAACGAGGAGAGTAGTAGAGGGGGCTGCTGCTGCTGCTGCTGGGGCAGGAGTGCTGCAGAGGGCTATTTACAGCAAGGCAACTGCCGCACGAGAGCTCCTGCTGCAGCTGCTGTCGCTGCTGCAGCTGCTGTTGCTGCTGCAGCTGCTGTTGCTGTTGTTGTATCTGCTGTTGCTGTACCTGCTGATGTTGCTCCTGCAGCAGTTGCTGCTGCAGTGGTGACAGCAGCTGATGCTGCTGCTGCTGTATTTGTTGCTGTCTCAGCAGCAGCAGCTGCTGCTGTTGCTGCTGCCACGTCGAGTGCCCGCGACAGCTCGGTAATAGGAAGGGTGGGGAGACAGACGCTGCCTCTTGCTGCAGCACCTGCGGCTGCTGCAGCAGCTGCTGCTGCAGCTCCTGCTGCTGCAAGAGCAGCTGGGGCGTTGCTGCACAGCTGCTATCTCTTGCGCTGAGTTGTCTCTGCTGCGAAGCTGCACCGTTTGTCTCCTGCGCAGGGGTGTACCAAGGCTCTTGCTGCAGCAGCTGCTGAGGTGATTGCTGCTGCTGCTGCTGCTGCAGCAATTGCTGAGGCGTCTGCTGCAACAGCTGCTGAGGTGACTGCTGCTGCTGCTGTTGCTGCAACAATTGCTGAGGCGTCTGCTGCAGCAGCTGCTGAGGTGCCTGCTGCTGCTGCTGTTGCTGCAGCAATTGCTGAGGCGTCTGCTGCAGCAGCTGCTGAGGTGCCTGCTGCTGTACCTGCTGCAGCTGCTGCTCCAGTTGCTGCTGTAGTGGTTGCTGCAACAGTTGCTGAGGTGATTGTTGCTGCGGCTGCTGCTGCGGGTGCTGCTGCAGCTGCTGCTGCGGTGACTGCTGAGCTGAGTGTTGCAGCATCTGCTGCTGTCGCTGTTGAGGCGACTGCTGAGGTGACTGCTGCTGCTGCTGCTGCTGTGGAGAAGTGTGCACCAGCAGCAGCAGCGGGTCATGGTAAGCGGAAGGCGTTTGCTGCAGTTTGCTGCCCAGAATTTGGGTGGGAGTGTGCAGCTGCTGCTGCACCTGCTGCAGCTGCTGCTGCACCTGTTGCAGCAGCTGCTGCTGCTGCTGCAGCAAAGCTTGTTGTTGCTGCTGCTGCAGCAGAATCCGCTGGGGTCGGCGGCTGCGCGGCATCGGCTGCAACTGCTGTGGTAGTCGTTGGGGTACCTGCAGCAAACCTTTTTGCTGCTGCGTCTCCTGCGGCACCAGCAGCAGCATCTGCTGCTGCTGCTGCTTCTGCTGCGGCTGCCCCAGCAGCACGACCTCATTCTCTTCAAATAAAGAGGCAGGGAGTGAGGCCTCCCGCGGTGTATTTTTTGTCTCTACCTCTGTCTCCTCGAGTCGAGCAGCAGCAGGAGCTATTTGCTGCTGCTGCTGTTGCTGCTGCTGCAGTTCTTGTTGCAATTGCTTCTGCAATTTGTTTATGTGTGGACGGCGGGGGTTGCTGCCTTTGCTGCACTGCTGCTGCAGTTGCTGCGGCTGCAGCTGCTGCTGCTGCTGCTGCTGCTGCTGCTGCTGCTGCTGCTGCTGTTGTTGCAGCTGCTGCTGTTGCTGCTGCTGCAGCCGCTGCTGCTCAGCTGCAAGGGCTCGCTGCAGCTGCTGTTCCCCTTCAGCAGGAATGCCTTGCTGCATGCAAAATGCATGCAGTGCTGCAGCAGCAGATTCCCCGGGCCCCACACTTACAGCTTGGACAGCACCAGTGGAGTCTTCGAGCTCCAAGGTCACTGCCTCACTCGCCTCTACGTTTGCTGCTGCTGCTGCTGCTGCTGCTGCACCTGCTGCTGCACCTGCTGCTGCACCTGCCGCTGCTCCTGCTGCTGCTGCGGCTGCGGACGCTGCGGGCGTCGGGACACGGGAGGCAGCAAAACCCTCAGGGGCGGGCCTGCTGTTCTTGCTGTTGCTACTGCTGCTGTTTTTGCTGTTGCTGCTGCTGCTGCTGGCGTCGAGGAGCTTCTGCTGCTCTCTCCCCTGCAGCAGGCGCAGCAGCAGCAGTTGCAGCAAAGTGAAAAAAGGAGACAGCAAAAAAAGAGACAGCAAAAATAATGCAGCAGCCATCGCCCACCTGTGGGGTTTGAGGGCTGCTGGATCTAAGCACGCTCGGCTGCAGCAGCCCGGCTGCTGCTGCAGCTGCTGCTGCTGCTGCTGCTGCTGCTGCTGCTGAAGTGTCACCTGCAGCAAAGGCAATCGAAGAAGCAGCAGCCGCATGCAGGCGAGGTGCAGCAGTACTGCACACCAAGTGATAGCCTAGCTGGGGCAGCTGCTGTTGCTGCTTCTGCTGCTTTGGCTGGTTTTGTCTTTGCTGCTGCTGCTTCTGCTGCTATTGCTGTGATCTCTTACAAGAACTGAGGAGCCCCACAGCTTCAGTGCCCGGCTGCAGCTGTGCTGCACCAGGGGAAACAGCCTTGCCTGCAGCAGCAGCAGCAGCACAGCAGCAGCAGCAGCAGCAGACGCAGCACAGGCACAGGCATTACAAAACACTGCAGCAGCAGCGACTATGTGAGCTGAATCTGTTGCTGCATTGACGTACCGAAGGGCGTTGCTGCTGCTGCTGCTGCCGCTGCTGCTGCAGCCGCTTCTTGCTGCTGTGCGCTGTTAGGCGAAGCGGCAGCCACAGCTGCTGCTGCTGCTGCAGCAACAGTGGCTGACATGGTAGCAGCATTTGCTGCTGCTCCGAAGAAGTCCTCAAGGTTGCAGGCGGGGGCGTTCGTTGCAGCAGGCTGTGCTGCTGCAGCACCCAGCTGCTGCTGCTCCCGTGCCCCCGCTGCTAGCTGCTGCTGCTGCTGCTGCTGCAGCAAATGGAAACATAGGGGACTGTCTCCTCGCGGTGTAAAGAGGCTGTCACATTCTTGTGGGGTAGACCTTGCGCTCAGCAGCGGAGTGCGGTTTTCAAGCCCTGCTGCTGCTGCTGCTTTTGTTGTTGTTGTTGCTGCTCCTGGTGCTGCTGCTGCTACTTCCGTTACTGCTGCTGCTGGTGTTGCTGCTGCTGGGGCCTTTTCAGACTCGTCTACTGTACAGCCACTGCCTTGCGCAGCAGCGTGGGACACACCATCTGCTGCAGCAGCAGCTGCAGCAGGTTGTTGCGTTGCAGCAGCAGTTGCTGCTGCTGAACCAGTGCTGCTGCTGTTGCAGCCGCTGCTGCTGCTTAGGGGCTCTTGAGGTGTTCCGTGCTGCAGCGGCGCTGCAGCAGCTGTCCCTTGCCTCGACAATAGCTGCTGCTGCGCCTGCTGCTGGGAAGCTAAGCGGCTTGCTGCTGCTGCTTCTGCTGCTCTTAGTGCTGCAGCACCTGCTTCCCTTGCTCGTTTGATGGTTGCTGCTGAGGCCCTAGCCAAGGCCAAGTAGGAGTTGGTGGGCTTGCGCAGCGAGTACTGCTGCAGTAGCTGCTGCTGTTGCTGCTGCTGCTGCTGCTGCCGCTGCTGCTGCTCTTGCTCGCGCTTGCGCTGCTGCTGCTGCAGCCTCTCTTCTCTTTGCCGCTGCAGCAGCGAAACTTGTCTCTCTACAAGGGACAGTCTGTCAGCGGAGGGTGACCCTGGATATGTTAAAGCCCTTCGAGGCTGCTGTTGCTGTTGCTGCTGCTGCTGCTGCTGCTGTTGCTGCTGTCGCTGCGGCTGCTGCGGTAGCAGGCTGTTGTATGTTCTCAGTTGCTGCTGCTGCTGCTGCTGCTGTTGCTGCTGCCGCGGCAGCAAGGGGGAGGCGGCAGAGGAAACACGCGACAGCGGGGGGCCCCCCTGTTTGATGAGTTGGCGGCTGGAATGGGCTTTGCGCATTTGTTTCTGCTGCTGCTGCAGCAGCTGCTGCTGCTGCTGCAGCTGATGCAGCTGCTGCCGCAGTTGCTGCTGCTTTTGGTGTACAATTAGCAGCGACTGTCTCTCAACAAGAGACAGTCGGGGAGAAGAAGCGGCGCTCTGAAGCCCTCGCTGCCCCCCTGCTGCAGGTTCGCAAGGCCAGGGCCTTGGCTGCTGCTGCTCTTGCTGCTGCTGCTGCTGCTCTTGCTGCTGCTGCTGCTGCTCTTGCTGCTGCTGCTGCTGCTGCTGCTGCTGCTGCTGTTGCTGCTGCTCTTGTGGCCGCTGCTCTTCCTCCTTATGCAGCAGCAGTTGTTGCGACTCTGTTGGTTGCCTCTGTGCAGTCTGCTGCAGCACACGTTGCTGCTCCAGGGGTTGCGTTGCCTGCCGCTGCTGTAGCATTTGCTGCTGGTCCTGTTCCTGCTGCTGCAGCAGCTGCTCTTGCTGCTGCAGCAGTTGCTCTTGCTGCTGCAGCAGCTGCTTCTGCTGCTGCAGCACCTGACGGCGAGGCAGCGAAACCCGAAGGTCCTCTGAGCTGCGGCGAGCAGCCTGAGGCGCAACAGCCAGCAGCCGCTGCTGGCTACTTGAGTTCTTGCGGTACTTCATTTGCTGCTGCTGCTGCTGCTGTCGGCGATTCTCTTGCTCTTCACGGTGTCTCTGCATCAGGGTGGTCTGCCGCTCAAGCAAAGAGAGACGAGGGGATTGCAGCAGCTGCTGCTGGTCTCCTGTTGCTCGTACGTGCTGCTGCTGCTGCTGCTGCCTTTGCTGCTGCTGCTGCTGCTGCTCGACTGCCTGCTGCTGAGGAGTCTCCTCATGCAAAGGAAGCCCCCAAGTTTCAAGAGCAGCCGCCGCCTCTTCTTGCATTTGCTGCTGCAGCTTCTGCTGCTGAGGGTGCGCAGCAAACAGTCGGTGAGGCCTCTGCCGCCGCAGCAGCGGTAGATGCATATGGTGCTGCTGCTGCTGCTGCTGCTGTTGCTGTTCTTGATGCTGCTCCTGCTGTTGCTGCTCCTGCTGTTGCTGCTGAGTGTGCCCGAAAGGGCGGTGGAAGATGACGGTGTTTCCCCACCTATTGCCCCTCTGCTGCTGCTGCTGTTGCTGCTGCTGTTGCTGCTGCTGTTGTTGCTGCTGAGTGTGCCCGAAGGGGCGGTGGAAGATGACGGTGTTTCGCCACCTGTCGCCCCTCTGCTGCTGCTGCTGCTGCTGCTGTTGCTGCTGTTGTTGCTGCAGCTGCTGTTGCTGCAGCTGCTGTTGCTGCTGCTGTTGTTGTTGCTGCTCCTGCTGCTGCTGCTCGTCCGGCCACTGCTGCTGCAGCAGAGGGCTCCTCGGGCCTCTGGTCCTGCGGCGTTTCTTGCTGGTGCTGGTGCTGCTGTTGCTGTTGTCCTTGCTGCTGCTGCTGCTGCTGCTGTTGTCCTTGCTGCTGCTGCTGCTGCTGTCTTTTACTGCAACGAACGATCCTATATTTGTGGGGTTTCGGCTTCTCGCCATCGGATGTAGCCTTCGATGATGATGTGATTGGTTTCGCTGCTGCTCTTGCTTCTGCTGCTCCTGCTGCTGCTGCTGCTGCTGCTGCTGCTCGTGCTGCTGTTGTCCTGGCTGCTGTTGCTGCTGCTTCTGCTCTTGCAGCTCCTGCTCTTGCTGTAGCTGCTTTTGTTGCTGGCGGTCCTTCAGGTACCGCTGTTTATGCTGCTCTTGTGACTGCTGTAGCGGCTGTTGTTGCTGCTGCTCTTGTGGCTGCTGTAGCTGCTGCTGCTGCTGCTGCGGCTGCTGCAGCATATCTAATTGGGGCTCGGAAGCTTCAATTGCCTGCACTTCTTTTCTAGGCAGCAGGCCTTGCTTCTGCAGATGCTGCTGCGGCTCTTGCTGCAGCTGCTGCTGCTGTTTCTGCTGCTTGTGTTGCCTTTTAAATAGCAGCTGTTTCCTAGGGGAGGCTACTGCTGCTGCTTCTGCTGCTACAGCTGGTGGAGACTCCGGCAGAAGGTCTTGTGTCTGTTGCTGCAGCACACAGAGACGTAGAACAAGCAGATATTCTGCTGCTGCTGCAACTGTTGCTGTTGCTACCTTTTTTGCTGCTACTGCAGCTGCTGCAGCTGGTACTGGTGCAGCAGCAGCAGCAGCTGCTGCTGCTGCTGATAGGAGGAACAGTACCTGAGTGCGTGCTGCTGCTGCTTCTTCTCTTCTGGGGGAGCCAGCAGCAGACGGAGAAGCGGCAGCATCTGCTGCTTGGCTCTCTGTAAGGAGTTGCTGCTGGTCTGCTGCAGCCCCCTCTTCCTGCTGATGCTGCTGCTCTTGCTGCTGCTGCTGCTGAGTTCTGCGGGAGGGAAGGAAGGCCTTGAAGAAGCCGTGCCGTTTGGGTTTAGAGGCTACAGGAGCAGTAGCAGCATCAGAATCAGCAGCAGCAGCAACTTCAGCAGCAGCAGCATCAGTATCGGGCGATGCGGGTGTGTCTGCTGCAGTTCTAGCAGCAGCTTGGTGGTGCACCGGCTCTGAAGACCTCAAAGAAAATATATTCTTGTGCTTGTGCTGTTGCTGCGCCTCTGATCCTGCTGATGCAGCTGCTGCTGCAGCTGCTGCTGCAGCTGTTGCTTCTGCCTTTGGCGATGCTGCGGCTGCATCCATTGGTCCGCTGCTTGCTGCTGCAGCGTCCGTTGCTGTATCCTGGGCTGTTGCTGCTGCTGTTGCTGCTGCCTCATGCCTTCTCCCCGTGAGGCTCAAGACTTTCTTATGCCGCCTGCTGCTGCTGCTGCTGCTGGGCGCCGCTGCAGCAGCTCTTTGGGAGCTCCTGCGAGTCCCCTGTGGGGCTCCAAGCAGCCCATGCTGCAGCTGCCCGTGCACGTAAGCAGCATCAGCAGCAGCAGCAGCAGCAGCAGCACTGCTGTCTCGCCCTCCGTTGGCCTCAGGGGAGCCCGCTGGGGTCGGGAAGCCCTCAGCAGCAGCAGCAGCAGCAGCCTGCAACGCATGTAAGCCTCAAGTGTGCTGTGTGTATTCCCAGGTGTACAAACACTGCAGCAGCTGCAGAGGAGCAGGGAGCAGCAGCAAGGACAGCCGTATAAGGCCTATGAACAGCAGCAACACCGAGACAGCAGCAGCAGCAAACAAAAACACCATCCCAAGCAGCAACAACAACGAGCCAGCTGGTTCTATTGCTGCAGCAGCAGCTAACCTGCAAGGGGGGCAGCCACGAAGCTGCATCACAGCGCAGCGGTGGGCTTGCTGCGGCAGCAGCAGCAGCAGCAGCGGCAGCAGGTCCGCCGCTGCGCTGCGGCAGAAGCAGTAGGGGGGGAGAGGCTTCCTGGGCTTGGGTTTGGGGTTGAGGTGAGCCCCCTGGGGCTCCCAAACCCTCATCAGCTGCAGCAGCAGCAGCAGCTTCTGCTGCCGCTGCTGCAGTTGCTTCTTCTGAACATCCGGCAGCAGGCTGGGGGCCCCCCTGCTTCCCGCTCCTTCTCCCCAACCGTTGCAGCAGCTGCGGAGAGCTGAAGACCTTCAGGTGTATAGGCATCTCCAAGGCCCCATAAGCCACGCTGCAGCAAACCCAACGATATGCCCCAGCAAGCAGCTCTCCCTGTGCAGCGATCCCGCCTCCCTCACGCTGTCAAGGTCGCCTCTATTTCAGACGATCCCAGACGATCCCGGGCGATCCCAGACGATCCCAGGCGATCCCAGACGATCCCAGACAATACTCGACGATCCTAGGCGATCCCGGATGATCGTAGAACGACCCTAGACGATCCCGGGTGATCCCAGGCGATCCCAGACGATCCCAGACGATCCCAGATGATCCCAGACGACCCCAGACGATCCCAGACGATCCCACGGGATCTTAGTGAGAACCGAATAAAGAGCATCTCAAGGATCTAACGGGGCTTTGCCCGCCGCTCGCTAGCTGCGACTCAACTGCAGGCAAGTGACCTGGGGGGAGATCCTCAGCAGCGTGATAAGAAACCCCAATGAAAAGCTTATAAAACAAATGCTGCTGTCTGCTGCTGCAGCTTCTGCTGCTGCTGATTAGGCCGCTGTCGTTAAGGCTGCAGCCGCAGCGCCTGCTCCGCCGGCTCGAGCAGCAGCAACAGCAGCAACAGCAGCAGCAGCGGCAGCAGCAGCCGCACCGATACAGGGCATCGGCGTAGTATATACATATCGGCGTGGGGATTCGTTTGCTAGCCAATGAAGACTTTTGTTTATTATTATTATTATTATTATTATTATTATTATTATTATTATTATTATTATTATTATTATAATTGTTATTATTATTATTTGCTTTATTCTTTTGTTTTTGTTTGTCGTGACCCTATCGACGAGAAGCTGCTGCTCTCTGTTTTTTGTGGTGTACATACTCAAATTCAGTATTCCTTCACGCTATCTATTTTTATTATTTATTTTTATTTTATTTATAGTTCAGTCGATCCTCAAGCCTCACATCTGGATGTCCCTCCTGCTGCTGTAGCTGCTGTTGCTACTGTTGCTGCTGCTGTTGCTGCCGACAGAGAGGGACAGCCCAGCAGCAGCACATCCAGCAGCAGCAGCAGCAGCAGCAGCAGCAGTTGCTGTTCTCGTGTATTTACCATTGAGTTGGGACTCAGAGGCAGTTTGTTTGTTTTTATTTTATCGCTGCTGTCTCCACTCTGTTTTTGCTGCACTTCTTATCTCTCTCTCTCTCCTCATTTCTTCGTCTTTGTTCGGGTGTATCTGTCTCTTGTCTCTTTCGTCTCTGTGTCTGTCTATGTCTCTCTGTCTCCCTGTCTCTGTCTCTGTCTCTCTGTCTCTGTCTCTCTGTCTCTCTGTCTCTGTCTCTGTCTCTGTCTCTGTCTCTGTCTCCCGCTGCATTTATTTGATTTATTTGTTTGTTTGTTCGTCTGTCTCCTCGCGGCCTTAGAGCAGCTCTTATTGCTCTTTGCTGCTGTCTCTCCGGCTTTCCTAAGGATTATCAATAAATGAACAAATATAAAGGGGGGGCCCCCAGGGGCCCCCAACGGCTCAGAGAATGTGGGGCCCCACCAAGGTGCTGTGGGGCCCCTCAGGTGTACAGAGACACTGTCTGCTGCTGCAAAGCAGCTAAGAGCTAATACTTTACACCTCCCTAGTAGTAGACAGCAGCTTGGCTGCAGCAGCTGCTGCAGCAGACTCTGTTGCTGCTGCTATGGGGGGGCCCCCTGTGGGGCCCCTCAATACCTGAAAAGCAAACGGCCGAAGGGGGCCCTCGATATTATGTGGGGAGGCCCACCTGTGGGGCCCCAGGAATCCCGTTAGCAGCAGCAGCAGCAGCTGCTGCTGCTGCTGCGGCTGCTGCTGGATCTGAATTATCTAGAGGCCATGACGGCGTATATATTGGCGCTGCTGCTGCTGCTACTGCAGCAGCAGCAGAATACGCCTCTGGTAGGCCCGCAGCAGCAGCTGCTGCTGCTGCTGCGAAACTGTCCTGTTCCGGGTGCAAGTGAGAAGAAACTTGCTGCTGCAGCATGCTGCTGTTGCTGCTGCTGCTGCAGATTTCCGCTGGCTGTTGAATGGGTACCGCTGTTTGCTGCAGCAGCAACTGCTGATGTACCTGCGGCTGCGCAGGGAGGCAGGAGGGCACTTCGTGCTGCAGCAGCAACCGCTGCTGCTGCTGCTGCTGCTCACTGCGTTTCCTGCTGCTTCTGGAGCTATCATTTCGCTGTCTCTTCTGTCCCTGCTGCTCGATCCCGTTACCCTTAGCCCTGCGTCTCGGGCGTGGGTTTTGCACTTGCTGCTGGAGCTGCTGCTGCTGCAGTTGCTGCAGTTGCTGCTGCTCTAACAGCAGTAACTGCTGCTGCTGCCGCTGCAGTTCTAGGCAAGATGCGTTTGTCTGCGGGTCAGCTGTGTCTGGCTGCAGCTGCGCAGCGACAGAGTCAGCTGCAGCAGCAGCAGCAGCAGCATCAGCATCAGTTGCTGCTGCTGGCTGAATGCCTACATTATTGTCTCTTGGTAGTGCACTTGAATTGGGGGGGGCCCCTGGGGCCCCCCATTCTTCTAACAGAGCGCAGTGTGCAGGAAGACGAAGAGCCCCTGAGAGAGCTTCCTCTTGCTGCTGCAGCAGGAGCTGCTGCTGCTGCTGCTGTAGGAGGGGTTGTTGCTGTCGTTGTTGTTGCTGTTGCTGCTGCTGCTGCTGCTGCTGCAGGTTGCATTCGGTTCTGAATAGGGCCTCAGTTGCGTCTTGGGGGCCCCACGGGGGGGGCCCCACAGGCGTGGGCCCTGGAGACAGCAGCAGCGGGGTGTCTGTCCCTGCAGACCACCAGTCATGTTGCTGCGGCGCTGCTGCATGCACTTCTGCTGCTGCCTCTCCTGCTGCTGCCTCCGCTGCGGTTGCTGCTGCTGCTGCTGTTGGTGCTGCTGCTGCTGCTGCTGCTGCTGCTGCGCCCCCAACAGCCCTCTCCCCCCCATACGGCGACCCAGAAGGGGCCCCAAATGCGTGCCAAGGGTTTTGCTGCTGCGCTGCTGCAGCAGCTGCAGTTGCTGCCGTTGCTGCTGCTGCGCCTCCTAGCAAAGCAGGGCCGCCTGAGAGGGCTAAGCCTTCATCCTTTGCTGCTGCCTCGTGGAAGTCCCCTGCAGCCGCTGCTGCGGATGAGGCTTCGAAGCTCATCTGCTGCTGCTGTTGCTGCTGCTGCTGCTGCAGTGCGGCTTGGGGGCCCCCATAGGAGAGGCCCAGACCATGAGCAGGAAGCAAAGAAGGGTAGGCTGTCTCCTCATCTCCGCTGCTGGCGCTGCAGCAGCTGCAGCTGTCGCTGCTGCTGGAGGCCAGCAGCTGCTGCAGGGACGGGAAGCCGGATGGGGCCGTTCGAAGCTGCTGCTGATCTGCTGCTGCTGTTGCTGCTGCTGCTGCGGCGGCAGCAGCCTTCGTGCGATGCCGGGGTCGTGAGGCAGCAGCAGCATGAGGGCCTCTTGCTGCAGTCCGCCTCTGCGGTGCCTGCGGGCCTTCAGTGCCTCTTGCTGCACAGTTGCTGCTGCTGCTTCTGCTGCTGCTGGGTGCCTTAACCTGCCAGGATGAGCAGCTGACGTCGCTGCTGCTGCTGCTGCTGGTGCTGCTGCTGCAGCTGCTAATGCTGCTGTCCTGGAGGCCCCCTTTGCTGCACTGCAGCTGCGCGGGTGGCAGATGCTGCAGCAGCGGCTGGGGAGCAGCAGCAAACTGCTGCATCAAGGCACCTTCAGGCGTATGCAGAGATACTGGGGGGGCCCCACCAATACTATAAGGCATAGGGGCCAACCAGGGCTGTTGCGGAGCGGGGAGCTGTTGCTGCTGCTGCTGCTGCTGCTGCTGCTGCAAGTTGCTGATCTTTTGAGACGTTCGTTCCCACTCGCACAGCAGCGATGTGGGCGGGTCAGGTCCAAGTGCTGCTGCTGCTGCTGCTGCTGCTGCTGCATTTGCTGTTGCTGCTGCTGTTGCTGTTGTTGCTGCTGCTGTTGCTGGATCTGTGGTGCTGGAGGTGTGGTGAGGACCGTGAAAGGGATAGGGAGGCTCAAGGTAACAGTCTTCAAGCTGCAGCTGCTGGGCAGCAGCAGCAGCTGCCGCTTCTGCTGCTGTTGCTGCTCGTGCCGGCACAGTTGCTGCTGGTGCATTTGCTGCAGCTGCTCCTGCGCTTGCTGCTGCTGCTGCTGCTGCTGCTGCTGCTGCTGCTTCCTCTTTCTTTTCGACGGCGCACAGAGCAGAGGTCCACTGCAGCCCAGGGAATCCAACCAGACCTCCTCCTGGTTGCTGTTCTTGCTGCAGCAGCAGAGGCCGTTGCATCTCATGCTGCTGCTGCTGCTGCTGCTGCTGCACTTGCGGCTGCATTTGCTGCTGCGGCTCTTGCTGCTGCAGCTCCTGCTGCTGCATGTACCATGTGGGGTCACCGAACGATGCCCTCAGGGGTACCTCGGTGTGGGGCCCCACAGGGGGCCCCACAGAGGGCCCCTCAGGGGGCCCCTCCGGGGGCCCCTGAGGGGGGCCCTTGACGTCTATCATAGCTGAGGTAGAGGGCCCGTACGAGGCAACCCAGTTGGGGGGCCCTGAGCACACAGCAGGCATCCCTTCAGCAGCAGCAGCAGCAGCTGCTGCTGCTGCTGCTGCAGAGTTGTCGGTGGGCTGCTGCGCAGCTGCAGGGGATGCGTGCATCATAAGCAACCTTTGCTGCTGCTGCTGCTGCTGCTGCTGCTGTTGCTGCTGCCGTCTGCTGTTGCGTCGGTTGCTTGTAGCCCTCACGCTTCCCTCAAGAGGAGCAAACGACGGTGGGGGCCCCTGAGGGGCCCCCAAGGAGACCTCGGAGGGTTCAGGAGATAAGACGGTTTCCAGCAGCTGGGGTTCGTGCTGCTGCTGCTGCTGCTGCTGCAGGAGTTGCTGCTGCTGCTGCTGCTGCTGCTGCGAATGGCCGCCCGACGGCCCCTCTCCTTGATCTGCTTCCGCTGAAGGAGGCAAAGAGAAGCTCGCCATGGAGCAGCTGAAACTGGAGTCTGCTGCTGCTGCTGCTGCTGCTGCTGCTGTGGGCGTGCTGCTATTGGTGCTCTCCACTTCCTGTGGGTGCAGCAGCAGCAACTGCTGCTGCTGCTGCTGCTGCTGCTGCTGGAGGTCGATGCGTTTACGCCTCGCCCTAGTGCAGTTCCTTCGCAACCTGAGACCTGCTGCTGTTTGCCTGAAACCCCCTCTTTTCCCTGCAGCAGCTCCTTTACTATCTGCTGCTTCTTCTTCTTCTGCTGCTGCTGCTGCTGTTGTTGACGGAGCAGTAGTTGCACTGGCGATATCTTCGGGTGTGACTGCCCCCTTGTTGGTGGGCGTGTTGAGTGATGAGGGAGCAGCAGCAGCAGCAGCAGCAGCTGCAGCAGCAGCAGCGGCAGTGGCGGCAGCAGCAGCAGGAGTGTTGCTGGTGTTGCATTGCTGCTGCTGCCTTTTCTTGCGCGCTTCTGCTGCTGCACTTCTCTTCATAGACAGCAGGTTTGCAAGCGTTACTTGCTGGGGGCCCTTTGCTCTAAGCTCTTTTACCCACTCTATCTTCAGGCCGTTGCTGCAGCAAAATGAAAGACACAGCTCCTCTACTTGCTTCCAGCAGCCTAGCAGATGTGCTGCATGCAGCAGCTCCTTCACTGTCAGACCCCCCCAATTTGTTGTATGCCCGGGAACGCCTCTTCCCAACACGATCCCGTGCTCCGATAGGATCGCCTTCTGCAGCAGCAGCAGCAGCAGCAGCAGCAGCAGCAGTGTGGGGTGCAGAAGCAGATTCGCGGGGGGGCAGCACACGTAGAAGCAACAGCAGCAGCAGCAGCAGCAGCAGGGCGGGATGAAATAGCAGACAAGCGGGGGAACGCAGCACACGCAGCAGCAGAAGCAGCAGCAACTGTAAATGCAACTGTAGCAGGTGCAGCAGCAGCAGCAACTCCAGAACAGTCAGGCAGCAGCAAAAGGCGAAGAGTAAACGCCATAGCCTCTCGGGCCAAATAATAGCAGCAGCAGCAGCAGCAGCAGCAGCAACACCAGCAGCAACACCACCACCACCACCAGCAGAAGTACTAGCAGCTGCACTAGCAGCAGCAACAGCAACAGCAGCAGCAGCAGCAGCAGCAGCAGGTCTTACACATCTTGCTGCATCAAGAGAGCGTCTTTGGTTGAGGACCCGCCTAAGGATAGCGCGGCCTTTGAGGCCAATGGGGAGATCAAAGCCAGGGAACCACTGCAGCAGATATCCATCTGTTTCTGCTGCTGGTGCTGCTGTTGCTGCTGCTGCTTCTCCTACTGTCCCTACTTCTGCTGCTGCAGCAGTTCCTTCTACCGCTGCATCTGTTGCGCCTGCTGCAGCAGCCATGCCAGGCGCCACTGCGCTGCTTTTGCCCCCTTCTTCGCAAGGGGGAGGGCCGAGCTGCAGCAGCAATTGCTGCTGCTGCTGCTGCTGCTGCTGCTGCTCATCCTCTGCTTCGCCTTCAAGCTGTACACTATGGGGCCCCACTACACCATGGGGGCCCCCCTCCATTAAGGAGGAACCTGGTGGTGCTGCAGCCATTGTAAATGCTGCAGCTCCTGCTGCTGTTGCTGCTGCTGCTGCTGTTGCTGCTGCTGCTGCTGTTAGTGGCGGTCACGTGCCGCTGGGCTAGAGCAGCAGCAGCAGCAGCAGCAATAATATAATAAAAAGGCAGGCAGCAGCACAGCACGTGCAGCAGTGCCCCCCATCACGACGCCTGCGCTTGCATGCACTTGATATGCGATGTGCTGCTGCTGCTGCTGCTCACTTAGCAGCTGCTGCTGCGGCTGCTGTTGCTGCCCGATTGCACCCGCAAAGGTCTAAGACCCGCTGCTGCAGGTGCAGCAGCTTCAAAGGCTTCGTGCCTTCTTTTCTTGCTGCTGTTGCTATCACTGCTGCTGCTGCTGCTGCTGCTTCTGCTGTTGCTGCTGCAGCTGCTGCTGCTTCTGCAGTTGCTCCTGTTGCTGCTGCTGCGAGAGGCAACAAGGGCCATAGGGGGCCCCGCCTTAGGGGCCCCTGCCCCGTAGGCCTGCTTTGATACACAGTATTGCTGTCACTTCCTTTGCTGCTGCTGCTACTGCTGCGGCTGTTGCTGCTGCTGCTGCTGCAGCTGTTGCTGCTAGTGGCGTGCCTAAAAAAACGGGGAGGAGCGGTTGGTTGTTATTGCTGTTGCTGCTGCGCCTGCTGAGGCTGCTGCTGCTTCTCTCTTCTGGAGCTTTGTCCGTCCCTCGTGCTGCTGCTGCTGCTGCTGCTAATGCTAATGCTGCCTTCTCGCATGCGCTGTACCTGTAGGCAGACCTGCCATTCTGTTTATCAGCGTAACTCCCACGAATTGCATATCAGCTGCTGCACCTGCTGCTGCTGCTGCTGCTGTTGCTGCTGCAGCAGAAATCCCTGTGGTGTGCACCAACACCCCGGCAGCGTCAGCCCAGGGGCGTGTCAGTGACGCGTGGGGTTGGTGTTGCTGCTGCTGCTGCCGCTGCTGCTGCTCCTGCCGCTGCAGCAGCTGCTGCTGTTGTTGCTGTTGCTGCTGGAAGTGCGATTGATGCTGCAGCAAATAATGATCAAGAGAGCCCCAAAGTTGCGAGGCTACCTGAGGGCGTTGGCCGACGCAGTCTTTTGCTGCTGCTGCTGCTGCTGCTGCAGCACTGAGGCAGCAGCGGCAGCAGCGGCAGCAGCAGCAGCAGCTGCTGCTGCTGCTTCGCGCTTGCTCAATCTATCTCCGTTCTTTAAAGGAGTTGTGGGGCCCCACATACTTGCGCCGGGAAATATTTGTGCAGCGCGACTTTATTATTGATAAGGAAACTTTTTATTGTTTTTCTGCTGTTGCTGATGCTGCTGCTGCTGCTGCTGCTGCTGCCGTCTCGTCTCCCTATCGCTCCCCTTGCTATCTATCTACCTGTCTCTGCTGCCTGACTTTCTTCGAAGGCCCCTTTCTCCTTAACTGCTGCTGCTGTACCTCTTTGCTGCTATTGCTCTTGCTGATTTTACTGCTTTTGCTGCTGCTGCTGCTGCTGCTTCTGTTCGCTGGCAGCAACAGAGGCATTACCCCCAGTGCAGTTTCTCTTGCCCGCGCAGTACCTGTCTATCTCTTCAGAAGCTTAGCCCACAGCTGCTGCTGCTGCTGCTGCTGCTGCTGCATTTAGCTGTACGCTGCTACGGTTTGGGAATTCTAAGTGCATAGAGGGCCCAATTCTACGATATCAGCAGCAGCTGCTGCTGCTTCTCAGGATACAACTGCTGCTGCTGCTTCTATTGCAAGGGCCATTGCTGCTGCTGCTGCTGCTGCTTCTATTGCAAACGCTAATGCTGCTGCAGCGGCTGCTGCCTGCATTGCTTGCTGTACCTTCGCTGCCTGCCTACAGGTGCAGCTGCTGCTGCTGCTGCCGTCGCTACTGCTGCAGCTGCTGCAGCAACTCTTCGGCGCTACTGCAGCAACTTGTGTAAGGGGCCCTTCCAAGAGCAACTGGTGTGGCTGCAGTGTACGTACACCCCGTTTGTAAGAACAGCGCCTCACAGGAAAGTGCAGCAGCAGCAGCAGCTGCTGCTGTTGCTGCCGCTGGTTCGCGTCCGAACACAATCAGCGCATTCAAAATGCTGTTGCTGCTGCTTCTGGGTCTCTAAGATTAAGGCTGCAGGAGCTTAAAGACTCCCCGCGGCAGCAGCAGCAGCAGCAGCCGTCGGAGCAGCAGCTACCTCTGTGCAAGTGAAGGAAGACGTTCAGTTTAGGCACGTGCGCTGCAGCAGCAGGGGACATAACAGCAGCAGCAGCTGCTGCTGCTGCTACTCCTACTTTCACTGTTTCGCCGTGCCTTCCTGCAGCAGCTTCAGTTCTCCGCAGCAGCTGCAAAAGTTGTCACATTTATCAGCAGCAGCTGCTGCAGCAGCTGAATTGTTCAGCAGTAGCTGCAGCAGCAGCAGCAGCTGCATTTATCAGCAGCAAGTGCTGCTGCTGCTGCTGCATTTATCAGCAGCAGGAGGAAGTGTTTGGCTTGTAGCATTATCGATTGGAGTAAGGTTTGTTTACGCCTTGCAGCATCCTGTTTGCTGCTGCAGCTGCAGCTGTTGCTGCTGAAGGGTGTATTGGTTGCTGCTGCAGAGCTGTAGGCCCCCTTCTACATGGCTTTGCTGCGTCTGCTGCTTGCCTTGCTGCTGCGTTTGCTGCGCCTTCTGATTATATATCTCTTGCAGCAAATGCTCAAAAATTAATTTGACATTTAAAGATGTTGCTGCTGAAGCCTCACTAAAAAACAGTCCGTTGCTCTGTGCATAACGTGCTGCCAACTCATAAGGCACCTGCAGCAGCAGCAGCAGCAGCAGCAGCAGCAGCAGAGAGAGAGCAGTAACAGAGAGAGCAGTAACAGAGAGAGCAGCAACAGAGAGCAGCAACAGAGAGAGAGCAGCAAAAGCATGGAGAGCAGCAGCAACAAGAACAGCAGCAAGAGCAACAGCAAGAGCAACAGCAAGAGCAGCAGCAAGAGCAGCAGCAAGAGCAGCAGCAAGAGCAGCAGCAAGAGCAGCAGCAATAAGATAAATATAAATATTTGAACGCACAACACTGTATTGTACACAGATACATAAAAAGAGACAGAGAGTGAAAGGAGAGACGCAGATATAAACGGAGACAGACAGAAAGAGAGACAGACAGAGATATAAAAGGAGACAGATATATAAAAAGAGACCGATATATAAAAAGAGACCGATTTATATATATATATATATCAGAGAGAGATTGAGAAAGCAGACGGAGATGGAGACAGAGAGAGAGAAAGGAGACAGACAGAGAGAGAACGAGAAGGAGACAGATATAAATAAATATACATATATATATACATGGATATATATATTATATATATATATATATAATGAAGACATACTTGTCTCACAGAAGAATAGAGAAGGAGACAGAGGCAGAAGAAGACAGATAAACATACATGAAAACACATATATATAAAAGCATAAATAAATAAATATATTTATATATATAAATGAATATATTTATATATATTTATTAATATATATTTATTAATAAACGTACTTGTCTCATAGAAGGGTCTTTCTCGCAGAGGTCTACCTTATTACCGACTAACATTATGACGATGTCGGGCTCGGCGTTTTGTCGCAACTCTTCGAGCCATTTGCTTGCATTTAAAAATGTTTGTTTCTTGCTAATGTCATAAACTAATAAAGCTCCTACTGCACGGCGGTAGTGAGCTGATGTTATGCTGCGGTAACGCTCCTGCCCAGCTGTATCCCATATCTGCAGCAACAGCAGCAGCAGCAGCAACAGCAGCAGCAGCAGTAGGAGGAGGAAGGGGAGGAGGAGGAGGAATATCAGCAGTAGAAGCAACAGCAGCAGCATCAACATCAGCAACATCAGCATCATCAGCAGCAACAGCAGCAGCACGAACATTACCATCAGCATCATCAACAACAGCATCATCAGCATAATCATAATCATAATCACCATCATCATAATCATAATCATAATCATAATCATAATCATAATCATCATCATCATCATCATCATCATCATCATCATCATCATCACCAGCAGCAGCAGCAGCAGCAGCAGCAGCAGGAGCAGCAGCAGCAGCAGCAGCAGCAGCAGCAGCAGGGTGGCATGCCTGTGCTTTAACGGTGCCGCCAACAGCAAGGGGGACAGTTCTAGTGACGAATTCGACGCCGATTGTTGCTTTCGGCAGCACAGGGAGGCTGCCGCGAGTATATCGAGACAGCAGATGCGTCTTTCCGACTGTAGCATCGCCTACTAATATTATCTTATACAAGTGACTGTAAGCACCTCCTTGCTGAGACTCGCTCATTTCTACTACTCTTTATTTTTATTATTTTTATTATTTTTATTATTGTTTTGATTATGCTACTCTTCGAGCTCTTTCTCCTGATGAAGCTGTTGCTGCTGATGCTGCTGTTGCTGCTGATGAAGCTGATGCTCCTGATACTGCTGTTGCTGCTGATGCTCCTGTTGCTGCTGATGCTGCTGCTGCTGTTAGGCTGCTGCTGTTAATGCTGCTGATACTGATGATGATGGTGATTGTGCAGGAGGCGAGCGCTACAATTCAAATCGATATAATAATTTAATAAAGAAAACAGGAAACAACATAGGGACATTTGCTGCTGCTGCTGCTGCTGCTGCACCTGCTGCTGCTGCAGCTGCTAGTGAATGAATGCCCTCCGCACGGATAGCAGCAGCAGCAGAGAAGGCAGCAAGAGACTGTTGCGATTGTCTTCTTGCAGCAGCAACCCTTTGTCTGCAGCAGCTGCTGCTATGTCGCTGGCTTTCTGCCTGTCTCACCCCTGCTGCTGTTGCTGCAGGTGCTCCTGCTGCTGCTGTTGCTGCTGCTGCTGCTGTTGCTCGGCAGAGAACAGCCTCAATAAACGTCAATTCTCCCGTCACAGCGGCCCCTCTGAGCTCTGCTGCTGCTGTTGTTGTTGCTGCTGCTGCTGCTGCTGCTGAGGAAGCCTGCTGCTTGCTGAGCAGCACGCCTGAATGTAAAAGATAAAGACTTACTTGAGGTGTACGTACACAGCAGTATGCAGAAAACACACAGCTGGGGCACAGAGAAAAGTATTGGACTCTCCGGAGTGTCGCCGACGCCGCAACAGCAGCAGCAGCAGCAGCTGCAGCAACAGCAGCAGCAGCAGCGGCAGCAGCCTTTATTTGTGTGTCTTGTCAAATCCCTGAGGAGAAAAACTTCAGAATAAGCAGAAAACAAAAATATGCAACAAAG